ACCCAGCTCGGGAGCAGGCCTCCAGCCTCGCTGCTGTTTTTAGCTTGCCTTTGGCCCAGGGCCCAGTTACTCGATGCCTGTTTTCTACTAAGCAAGTGTGTCCGGGAGCCCCAGGCCACAGGTGAAGAGCGATAAAATACGTTCCCTGACAGGACCAGCCAGCCGCGAAGATGGAGGCGTTCCAGGTCTAAACGAGGGCAGGATGCTGAAATCCCAGATCCCACTTCACTTTTATAGACCCCTTATTTTAAACGGAAAGGTTGGGGGACGGCAGAGGCCGGCCCAGGCTGGCTGCGGCTCCTGTGTGTCTGTTGTGCCTTGTCCGGCTCCTCTCAGATGGCAGAGCTCTCCTAAGCCCACGGGACTTTAGTGCAATTAAACCCGAGTCTAGTTTGATACTTTGAAACTACTTTTAGCTTCAGTGCTTTGTACGGTTTTCCTTTCCGGTTTAAATTTTAGTTGTGCTTTGAGACAGTGCAATAAACTAGACTTTTTCCAAATGTGGTCGAGTCTGGTGTTTGAGCCGTGAGAAGGGACCCCTGGCGGGCACTCGCGGGGGTGACCCGCCCACGGGTGCCGGAAGCCTCTGCAGACAGCGTTCGCCAGCCCAGCCCCCCTGCCAGGAGAGCGTGGCGGATGCCATCGCGTGGCCTGCTTGGTGTGCAAATGCGCACCAGGTTCCCCGGGGCGGCCGTCCTGACCGAACCGTCGCTCCAGAGGTAGACGTACCCCCGGCAGCCCCTGGGAAGGACACCCTCAGGGGAGGCGGAGCGCGGGGCTGTCTCCGCACGGAGGCCCGCTGAGGCCGGGCTGCTGTGGGCAGGCTCTGGAGGGGCTCCCGAGCCTCCATCCAAGAAACAATAGCAAATAGCCGCAGTGCGCTGCCGGGAGCCCACACGTGGGAAGAGAGCACGTTCGTAACGGCAGCAGGACACATCGTGTGCCAGGAAAGACCTGAACAGGAAATGTCGGACTCGTGTCCGGGAATGTCACGCTTCACGGATGTCAAACAAAGCTTGAATGAAGGAAGACAGGCCGACCCTCCCGATGGAAGACTAAGTACATCGTGCAAAGACAGGAGTCCTCTCCAAAGGAACTGGTGGGCTTAAGTCAGGCTGCCAGAACCCTCCCTGGCGTGTTCTGCTGGAGGGAGGCAGGGAAGAAGTCCCAGAACAGTGTCTGTGCCCACAAGGGTCCCCGACTGCCAGATGTGCGCCCGGGGCCCCTGAGCCGCTTCGTGTCCCACCAGAGCCCCCTGAGAGAGATACCGTCAGTCTCAGGGACACTCGGGTTCCTTGACTTGCTGGAGGTCACACAGGGGCCACTGGGATCGGAGCCCAGCTCTGTGGAACCCCAGACCAGTGCTGCATGAGGCCGCCTCACTGTCGGGGGAAGAAATAGGTGGGGGCTGTCAAGAGCGATGACAGCAGCGGGCGGTGTAAGCGTGGCGTGGGAGGGCAGGCCAGGGACACAGCTGCTCAGGCCCGCCAGGAGTTGGCACGGTGGGGGCACGTCGTAGAAGAGGGGACAGGCGGGTGCGGTCACCGCTGATGTGGACCACTGCCTCGTTATCTGGACAAAATAGCCATTAAATGGATTAAAGAAAAAGCTAGGGGGAAAACAGTATCCGATTTCTGGATGGCAAAGGCTTTCTAGACTCCAAAGTGATGGGAAAAGCCACAGAGGAGAAGTAAGTATACAGATTTGATTTCCTCAAAATATTAAAATGTGATAAATTTAAAACCCCACAAAAGATTAAAAGGGGAGACAATTGTGGCATCAGACGATGACGATGTACCTTAAACACTCGTACACGCCAGTCGGAGGACCTATGGCTCTCGTACGGACCCAGATGAAAGCGTGTCGCTTAGCTTAACCCCTGGCACCCAGGCGGGGCGCACGCGGAGCAATCTTCAAACTTGCAAACCCACAAACTCCACTTCCGGAATCCTGTCCTCGGGACCAAATCCTAAACTGGGGGGAAGTGTATAACACAGGCCATTTTATCATTGCGTGATGCGAACCGCTGACCTCCAGGGGCAGCTTCCAGGGCGGCCTCCTGTGTGGCTGTTAGAGGCACGTGTCCTGGAGGAAACGGGCCAGGGCTTGGCCACATCGATGCCACAGGTCTTCCGCGTGTAATAACGTGGTGTTGCAGATACACAGGGGGAGAGAGAGAGAAGGGAGCGGGAAATAATACAATGCACAGGTATTCGCACCCTTCTAACCTTTGGTGGGTTTGTATCTTTTGAGTTTCAAGCCATGTAAATGTATTATTTATTTCAAAATAAATAAAATTCACATTTTAAAAAGTGCCAACATTAACTCCTTATGCTGTCAACACTAGCTGAATCAAATATCACCAAGTAAACACCAAAGGCTCCTGAGAAGTCATTTACAAAGCATTTTACAATATAGGAAAGTGCTTAGACTACAGTTAAGTTTAAAAGTACTTATTTAAGCGATCTGATGTCATGTATGTAAAAAATATGCATAGAAAATAATTTTAATATATTTATATACATGCATAGAAAAAACTGGAAGAAAATACACCCACATGCTCGTAGTGGTTGGTCGGTGGGCTGGTGGCAGGCAGCTGGCCCCCTTTTTTGGCAGCCAGACAATGGAGGGCGAGCAGGACAATGTTTCCGTGAGGAAACCCTGCCAGGCCCTGCCCTGGATTTCTCTGCAGTCCCAGTGCTCTGCCTCCGGTGTGAATTCTATAAGCAGAAATTCTTTTTAAAAATCACTTAAGACAGAAATCTCGGTCTTCACCTCTGTCCTGATCAAGGTGGTGGTTACAGGTGTAGACATCTGTCAGAACTCCTCAGACTATACATTTAAAGTCTGTGCGTCTCAGGGCACCTGGCTGGCTCGGCGGGAAGAGCATGAGACTCTGATCTCGAGGTCGTGAGTTCAAGCCCCACATTGGGCGTAGAGCCTACTTAAAAAGAAAAAAAGAAAAAGAAAAGGCCTCTTTTCATCTTTAAGAAAAAATAAACTCTGTGTATCTATCGTCTGTCAGTCATGCTCCATTTAAAAATGTAGCAGGACAAGGGGATCCTGGGAGGCTGTCAGTTAAGCGTCCGACTTCAGCTCAGGTCATGATCTCGCAGTTTGTGAGTTCGAGCCCCACATTGGGCTCCTCGCTGACAGTGTGAGGTCTGCTTGGGATTCTCTCTCCCTCTCTCTCTAAATAAACTTAAAAAAAAAAAAAAGTGGGAAGCTCTTTCCTTTAAAAAGGAAAAGAAAAGAAAAGGTAGCAGGACACAACCACAGTGGGGCCAGGGCGGGAACAGGTGCAAACACTGCATGTGGCCGTCCCTGACCACGAGGGTTTCCTTTCTTCCCGGCTCCCCGGGAAGCATCCCTGTTCTGAACAGGACCGGCGGGAATTCAGGAAACTCTTCCCAGTACAGTAGCTGACAGTTGGTGAGGCATGGAGAGGAAGGGACACCAGAGTAATCTGCATCGAGGTAATACTAGGATGGAGTCCGCATGTGGCGTGGCCCTGGCGTGGAGTCACATCCCCACAGCCAGAGGAGGGGCAGAGCAAGGCCCTCAATGCCCTCACAGCCGCCTCCCCCAGGCCACCCCGACAGCAGGGCGGTCCCACGGTGTGCCTTTCCAGTTCGTGGCCCAGCCTCCTCTGTCCTCCCTGGCAGGCGTCTGGGGTAAAGATTCTGGCCCCTGTGCTCCACCAGATTGGGAGTCACTGGGCCGATGGGTGGGCATGGTCGGGGGCAGGACTGGCCACAGTCAAACCTCCTTAGACCGGAATGAGTGGGCCAAACGAACCAGTGTGCTTCACCCCAGAGAAAAGTGGACCTTGTTCTGGGCAGAGCAGTTGCTTCAGAGAAGCCATCAAGACAACATGCCAAGACCGAGCAGAGTCCCCGTCTGCCAAGGGACACCTGGGCGGGGCCTGACGGACTCTGGCCCTCCCCAGCGCTCGGTGCACATGGCCCCCACTGACCTGGCTG